ACGAAGTGGCTGATGTTCACACTATGGGGTAAAATCCAGTATGTGTCCTACTTAGACTCACTGAAATGGGTGGGGCTTAAGTTAGCCCTGACCAACATAAAGCATGAAATCTACGTCCTACTTAGAGCAGACTTCAGGACTAACCCAAGTCCCATTCATTTCAGTGGGCCTACTATGAGCAGGACTTGAATGGCATTTTACCTGTGTCGTCTACTTCTGGTTCCAGTTTTAAGGCTCTAAGTTCCATGTTCCAGAACGGTGGTGCTGGTGCAAGAAACAAACCATCGTTTCTTCTCATCGAGACCCCTGAAAAGTTCTTCCAAGTGCAACTTGAAACTCTCAAGTTTGCATGTCTGAAATCAATCCCTACCTTTGTTCTTAAGACCAGAACTAAAAGCAGGCTCTGTGGTTTCAAGATCAGCCGCTTTCTTCCTTTCTCCACCCTTACACTCTTTTGGACTTTGCTTAACGTCTTGCTTCAGGAAGACTCCTGCATAACCTTTGGGCCCTGTCAGACCCGAGTGCCTCTCCCGGTAAGAACCTACCTGCATGTAATGATCAACTTTTTCCCCCCACGGGAGGTTCAGAGGATGGCAACAAAGCAAGGCCTTTTCCGCGGTGGCTCTCCTGACTGTGGAATTCCGGGGATTCTGGGAGTTGGAGTCTGGAGGGCACCAAGTTAAGAAAGGATGGCATAGATAACACCAAAACAGAGGCTGCAGTCTGACACGAGAGACTGCTTTTTATGTTCAATCCCAAGGCAATGAGCAGAATGCATCTCTCCAAGGTGTGTGTGGAGGGGAGATAAGCCCCAGAATTGCTCTACTGCCCCTCCCCAACCCCAATTCTGCATCCAGCCACCCGATCCAGACCGTTCTCTGTCCAGAACCACATGGCAAGTGGCAGGACCTACCCCCAAGAGCTGAGCCCAGTCGACTCGCAGAGATCAGTTCTATGTGCCTTCCCTCTCTCACCTGCCCCCTGACCTGAACAGAATTATGGGAATGGACGACCCCCCCCCACCTGCTTTTCCTGCAGTCTGGCCACCTCCTGGAACCAGGTGCCCTCCAGATGTTTTGCACTTCAGCCCTGCCAGCGTGGTCAACGGGCAGAAGTCCTGGGAAAACGTCTATCCCGAAACATTTAGCAGGCATCATGCTGGGAAAGGCTGATCTAGAGATGCAAAACCAATAAATGAGACCCTGCAAAAGGAGCGTTTTCTTCCCTGTCCAGCTCCGTCCGTCTTCCCTGCCCGAGATCCGACTTCTCCCTCCGGACCACACAGCCCTCCCTCGTTTTCGCTCTTCTCTGCCTGCACCCATCCACTCAGGCCTCTTTCTTGCTCACGTACCATTCTGGAGGGCGTGTCCTGATGCAGATGGAGGGAGGAGCCTGCTTCAGGCTCCGCCTCTAAAATCCTACATGTGGAAGTCCAACAGGTAGATCTGTTTCCGAGGATGTCTGGGAGAGTTTTGCTATCGTACAAATATCTTTCACAGAAGGAAGTGAAATAAGAGGAGTGACCAAACCGCCTCGCCAAGAAAGTGAGGCAGGAGTTCTGTCTGGGAGGCAGGCTGGGCAGGTGTTCAAATGGGAAGTCCATGGGCCAGGAGGCAGCACCACCATCTTTGGACAGGTCCAATCCTTTTCCTCATGTGCTTTCCTAATTCGTGTCCCTCATCTGTATTTCCCTCATTTATTTTTATTTTTCGATTTATATCCTGCCTTTTTCCTACAAAGGGCTCAAGGCAGCTTACATCTCCTACTCCATCTTATCCCCACAACAACAACCCTGTGAGGTAGGTTGGGCTGAGAGTCTGTGACTGGCCCAAAGCCACCCAATTGGCTCCATGGCCGAGCGGGGACTAGAACCCAGATCGTCCGAGTCCCAGTCCCATGCTCTTAACCACTACGCCACACTGGCTCTCATCACTTTTATATTACAAACAGAGGCAAAGGGGTGGCCGGGGAGGGGGGAGTATAAAGAACACTGATTCTTTATACTATACTAAATCATACAGGCCAAAGGACACTTCAAGATGCGCAGTTCCAAATGATAACCGAGGAATTATTGGTCCATAGCTACCTACACTTACAGTCAAAGCATTTGCCTCTTACTATTCTTGGCTGGGCCGTTTGGTTCTTACCACTTATGGAAAGGAAACCTGGGTATCTAGAATACTGCCAGCTCAGGTGTAACATGCTCAGGGTGACCCGGGTTCAAATTAGGGCTGTGTACACAAGCCTTTGAAATTCACCATCCTATTTGTGTGCAAGGCAACACAGGGGTGGGAGAGGCTGATGATTAGGTAGAATTTATCCAGGGAGAAATTGCCGACCTTAAAGTTGTGCAGTTTCTCCTTAGAATTTCTCCAGGGAGAAATTCTCCAAACTTTTATCACATGTGGGGTTCCTTGTTGGCAGAGGCTTGCAGCACCACTTCCTTTATTCCAAAAGGATTTCTCTTTTTTGCTCTGCTAGGACAGCGTCTGTGTTGGCAACCTGGTCCCCATTTTGCATTCTCAACAATAAAGGTGTGACGGGAGCAGCTACAGGGAAGAGGTAAGAGCTAGTGATGTGCCAGAATCCACCCATATCTTGCTAGTTTTGTTCCCCATGAAAAAGGGTCCATCATTCACTCTTTAAAATTTCCTTTGGTGGAGTTTTTGGGCTTACCTGATCACTGCAAGATGACGGAGAGAGATGTGTGTGTGTTTCTTCTTTGTACTACATAGCTCAGGTGTCACCGAATGCTATATTTTATCTCCCTATTTGTTCAGTCACTATGCAGAACATATAAAGAAAGCTGAAGTGGGATCAGAGGAAGGAATGAAAATGGGCACTAATTCGAGCTATGCAGATGATGCTATATTACCATCAGAAAGCAGCATTGAAAACGTTTCCAACGAAAACAAGGGCAAAAGCAGAATTGCAGTTGAACATTAAGAAAACAAAAATCATGACAAAATAAGAACTGCACAACTTTAAGGTCGGCAATGAAAAAAATGAAGTAAAGATTTTGCATCCCTTGGCTCAGTCACCAACTCAAACAGGGACATGAGGCCAAGAAATTAGAAAAAGCCTTAGGACTTGGAAGGGACGCAGTGAACAAACTAGAACAGATCAATGAGTGTAAACTTGTTTTACTGGAGACCAAGGTGAAGGCCATCCATGCTATTGTATTCCTGGTCACTGTGGATGGGTGTGGAGGCTGGACACTGAAGAAACCAAGTGGAAGGAAATGGATGCATTCAAAACATGGTGCTGGAGGAGAGCTTTGCAAGTACCTGGAATGTACAGAAGGATGAGCAAGTGCATCCTAGATTAAATCAAGCCAGGACTTTCCCTAGAAGCAAAAAAAATTGCTAAATGGAACCTCGGACACATTCTCAGAAGGCAAGCCTCCCTGGAGAAGACCCTCCTGCTAGGGAAAGTCAAAGGCACAAGAAGAGAAGGGACACCAGCTATGAGATGGATCTACTCTATCCAGGAAGCCACAGTCTTGAGGTTACAGGAGCTGAGCAGGGCTGTCAAAGACGGGACATTCTGGAGGGCTTTAATTCATAAATTAAATTTAATTAATTCACCGTAAGTTGGAGATGACTGGATGGCACCTCACAGTCACCCAGCCTGTGCGCGCTTCCTGATCTGAGAAGCCCCATGGGAGGAATGGTACCTTTCCCTGGGCTTTAGTTAAAACGAGGGAAGCCAAGACGACTCCAGGCTGCTGGAGATATGATTGTACATTCAAAGACAGGTCACTCAGCACATTCCACAGCCTTGTAAGTAAAGCGCATGGACCTCAACCCCACCTCTGAGAACGTGCAGGGTTTTTCCCCACTAAATTTCTGTTCAAAAGCTATTTCCTCCCTATCAAATTCGATGAGAATGCTAAAAAAAGTTGGAAACGTTTTTGGCGCGGGACTACTTCAAATCCCACCAGCTCCTGTGCCCCTGCAGAGCATCTTATGGCACCTTTTCCCAGGGATGTGGAAGGCGGTCACATGTACATTTCAGGATCAAAACACGAATTAGTGAACTCTCATCATTTGGGGTGGCAAACCCACATCTGCATGTCAAATTTTGCCCACCTTTATGTTCTTTATGCTCCAAATGCTGCTTGGCTTCATATCCCTGCAGCCACAGCCAATCCGATCAGGGATAATGGGAACTGTAGTGCACGTATTGATGGATCACAGGCTCCTCATCCCTGCTGTAGATTGACCCAAGTCTTCTTGGCATGTTACGAGTCATTTATTGTTGTTATTCATTCATAAAGCGCCTACATGTGCTAGGTGCTGAACCGTGGTCCCTGCCCATGAGCAAAGAGAAGTCGGCCCCTGCCCATAGGCTTACAGTCTGGGAAAAGGACATGTTAGGAAGGGGAAGCAAGTAGGAGAGGAAAAGGAAGGTGCAGCTGGGGAAAGAGAGTACCAGAACTGAAGAAGCTAGACAGTGGCAGTGAAAGGGGAGGGAGGGAGGGAGGGAGTCGGGAAGGAAACAGCAGGGCATTCTGGTGACAGGAAGCAGAGAAGATGGGAGGCAGACGGACATCTTGGGCTTTGCTAGGAGTTTCATGCCGGCAGAGCAGACAGTAAGCACTGGAACCTTGACATGAAGTTGAGCGGACAGAGGAAGGCAATGGAGAGCTTCAGACTGAGGAGGAGCAATCCCAAGTTTGCTTAGGGCACAAGCGGGCAACTCCCATCATCCCCAGTCAATGTGGTCAATGCTGGGGTGATAGGAGTTGTAGTCCTAGACACCTGTAGGGCCCCTGGCCTAGGGTGCACACAAGGGCACAATCTCCTGTTGCCACTGGTTTTCCTGCACCCCGAGCCAGTGATGGAAAGCTTGGCTGGAGCAGCGGCCTCGGGTCACAAAGAGTTCCCTTTCCCCACAAACGGCACAACTGCCTCTTGGCAGGCTTGGGCTGCTGCCCGGACTTTGCAAGGCTGAGGAGGAGGAGACTCTGGCTGTAGGAGAGGGGCCAGGGCACCATCAGCGCCACGGCCACAGCGGTTACCTCTTGGTTCCTCTTCTTGCAGGACACTGCAGTACTGAAAAGGAGTGACATTTCCCTGGAAGTGTTTCATTCAGCCTATGTATCTCACAGATGGGGCTCCATCCTCTGTGGATCTGTTTGCAGAGAGAACACTTAGATGCTACCCAAGCTTTCTCCACCATCCAAACCCTGCTCATTTATCCTGCCAAGTATCTTTGGTTTCCTGCAGCACTGACACCTCTATTTCTTCTCACAGGCATGGGACTTCTGATGCCTGATAAGGTTGGATCTTTGACAGAACCCTTGTCCACAGTCTGTGCACCTATGTGGCTTCTCTCCTGTGTGAATTCTCTGATGCACAATAAGGTGCGCCCTTTGACTGAAGCCTTGCCCACACTCCAAGCATTTATGTGGTTTCTCCCCTGTGTGGGTTCTCTGATGTACAACAAGGTGTGTTCTTTGGCTAAAACTCTGGCCACAGTCTGAGCATGTGTAGGGCTTCTCACCTGTGTGGACTCTCTGATGTCGGACAAGGTTGGACCTCTGACTGAAGCTCTGCCCACATTCTGTGCATTTATGAGGTTTCTCTCCTGTGTGGATTCTTTGATGGATGACAAGGTGTGCTTCCCATGTGAAGCTCTGCCCACAGTCCGTACATTTGAAGGGTTTCTCTCTTGTGTGAATTCTCGTGTGAGCAATGAGGTTTTTCCGCCGATTGAATTTTTTTCCACAGTCAGAGCATTTATGAGGCTCCTCACTAGCATGAATTTTCTGATGCCTAATAAAATTGGATTGCCAGTTAAAGATTTTCCCGCACTTCAGACATTCATATGGAGTTTCTCCCATGTAGATTCTCTCGTGTGTATCACCATTTGATTCCTGATTAATATTTTCCCCACAATCCAAACTTCTGTATGTCTTTTCTGTATGGACTTTCTGATGTTTAATAAGGTGCGGGCTCTGACGGAAGCTTTTCCCACAATCCAAACATTTGAAAGGTTTCTCACCGGTGTGAATCCTCTGATGGCTGATCAGGTTAGTTCTCTGATTAAACCTTTTCCCACAATCAGAGCATTTGTGAGGTTTCTCTCTGGTGTGGATGCTCTGATGTCTAAGAAGGTTTCCTCTCCGGGAAAATATTTTCCCACATCTGAAACATTTATAAGGATCCTCCCCTGTGGACACTCTCTCATATCTAATGTGGTTTGGCCTTGGATTGAGTGCATTCTCTCCTGTGTGAATCCTTTGATGCTTAATGAGGTTTGATTTCTGACCAAAGCTTTTCTCACAGTCTGAGCACTTATATGGCTTCTCTCCAGTGTGGATTCTGTGATGTCGGACAAGGTTAGATCTCTGGCTAAAGCTCTGCCCACAGTCAGCACATTTGTGTGGTTTCTCCCCAGTGTGCAGTCTCTTATGTATGATGAGGTGTGCTCTCCACCGGAAGCTTTTTCCACAATCTGGACATCTATAAGGTTTCTCTCCAGTGTGTATTCTCTGATGAGCATTCAGGTTTGTCCTCTGGTTGAAGCGTTTCCCACATTCTGAGCATTTATGTGGTTTATCTTTTGTATGGATGCTCTGATGTCTAAGGAGGTTCCCTCTTCGGGAAAATACTTTCCCACACTTGAAGCATTTACATGGGTTTTCACCAGGCGGAATCCTCTCTAGTCTACCACGGTTTGGTTTCTGATTGAATCTCTTCCCGCAATTTGAACGTCTATGAGGCTTGTCACCTGAATGGACACTTTGATGTTTGATAAGGTTTGATTTTTGAGTGAAGCTCTTCTCGCATTCCAAGCATTTATAAGGCTTTTCTCCCGTGTGGACTCTATGGTGTCTAACAAGATTGGAGATCTGACTAAAGCTTTGCCCACAGTCTGTGCACTGATGTGGTTTCTCTCCCGTGTGAATCCTCTGATGAATTATAAGGTTTGCACTCCGACTAAAGCTCTTCCCGCAGTCTAAGCATGGGTAGGGCTTCTCGCCAGAGTGAAATCTCTGGTGCCTAATATAGCTTGTTTCCCAATTAAAGCTTTTCCCACATTTAAAACACTGAAACTTTTTCCCTCCAATGTGGGTTCTCAGGTGCCTGTTGAGATTTGATTTTTGAGTGAAGGCTTTCCCACAAATATTGCACATATGCCTCCTCTTTCCTGCATATATTCTCTGATGGACTGCAGTCTCGCTTGAGTTGCTATTCTGGCAAAGGCTAGATTTATTCTGTCTCTTGTTTGCCTGCTCCCACTTTGGTCCAGTTTGATTCTCAGCATTGTCTTCTGGGTCTCGAGGCTCGATTCTTTCCAAGGGAACCTCAAATGGAGCGTCTTCATCTTCACTGTCCCAACCATTGACTGCTGAAATTAAAAGAGGACCTTGTTAGAAAGGGTACTGAAAATGAGGGAAATACCAGGTTTATGTTTCTGCAGAACCAGAAACAATTCAGCTCAGATGCAGAGAAGTGAAGAGTGAGGCAAATGAAGTCAAAAGAAGGATCTGCCTGAGAAACATTTATGGTAGTACACAGGCTTTTTATCTTTTTTACTGTATCTCAGTGTATTTTTTGTATTTTTGTATTCAATGGTAATTTATTATGTTCTATTGTATTTCAATGTATTTTATTGTGTTGTAAGCCGCCCCGAGGCTTCGGCAAGGGGCGGCATAGAATTGTTATAATAATAATAATAATAATAATAATAATAATAATAATAATAATAATAGCACCAGTTCAGTAAATGCAAGACACCCGAACCTTGGCATGCATACTAGGGAAGGTCTTAGGGGTATGTGCCTTAGGGTTATATGGTTTTCAAAATGCATAAAATCATTATACCGAATGTGAATGGCTGCGTGGTAGAGACCTGCAGTAACACATTCAGTCACTAGGTGGCAGCTTCTTGAACCCGTAATCTTTCCAAGCCAGCTTTGCAGTTCACACAGGTTGAAGCCAGGGAAGCAGAGAGTTAGGCACCTGCCCCTTCCCACCTGCTATGTGGTAGCCCCCCTAAGGGGAGTGAAGCGGAGAAATCCCTCCCTTAGAAGGCTGCAGGAGTGTAAGGATACATGTGGGCATCGCTTCACTCACATGGGGGTGCAGGCACAAGATGTCCAACATTGACAGCTGGACAATTTGCGTGAAAGTGTCATTTTTTCACAGCCGGGGCTGTTAAACTTGTGCAAAGCTAGGCCCATCTGCTCATTTTAAACACACACACACCTTCCCTGTGAGGCTGGCATTCTCTCACATTCTGCTCAGAGTAAACTTTTTGGTGGAAACCTGAGATAGAAACATAAAAACAGAGTGAGTCAGAAGGGGTCTCCCGGGCCATCTAGTCTGACCCAAGCTCCAGCCAGCTCCACTCATGACATGCCTACCATGTGCATGTCCATGAAAACAATTAGCAGAGCCAGCCAGGAGTTGAACCTAGAATCTTCTGATCCATAGTCAGATGCATTATCCATCGCACCACTGGCCCCGCTTACGACCTGCCAAAATCTCTGGAGGGTTCTAGAAGGTTCCGTGGCACTTAAGGCCTACAACATTGGTACCACCCACTGGCCTGGCATGGGCTGCCCATGTCCTCAGGGCTGTATTGGCCCAATTTTAAAAGCCACTGGTGGGCCTGATATTTGGCAAGAGCAATCTGTCCCCTGTCCAACAGCCCATGATGAAGGCAGGCAGTGAGGAGGAGGAGGACGGGATGTAGAGAAGCAAGCTGCCCCACATGGGGTTCTGACCTGGCCTACCACTGTTTCTATTTATTTATTTGTATTATTTGTTATTTATTTACTCGCAGAGGGTATGCTTTTGAACTGCCAGGTGGGCAGGACATAGAGGCAGATGATGGGCACTCGCTCCATCCTGCGAAGCTGGGCTCCAACCACTGGAGGGCCAACTATTTCCGATCGGCAGTTCCAGCATCATTAAGCTGCTGTGCCACTGCGACTCCCACTTCTTGGTGGGAAACATGTTGGCTTCGTTTGTGATTAATGCAAGCACTGCTGCTGGATGTGCTCGGATGCACCCAGCAGAGGACTGGCGGAGAAAAGCCCTGGACGAACAGGGCCTTAGGTGCCCGGAAGCACTTCCTGACAGTTAGGACCCCGAGGGTGTGGAATGGCGGAGAAAAGCCCTGGACGAACAGGGCTTTAGGTGCCAGGAAGCACTTC